ATTTAAGAAGTGTTAATTCTCTCACAATTAAGGTGAATTATATTGCATTTTAAAGTGTTTAAGAAGACGCGCGCATGTGAATTGTATTTGCGCGCGTGAGTTTGTGCCTGTATGCTGCACGCGTATGCGTTCCAGGTGTGTATGAACAAGTTGGACAGACGTATTATTGATTCTTACATGCCACGTAATCGATATTTTTTCATAGTCTAAATGAATATGTGAAGATATTTGAAGACTTTTGCTGCGTATTTCAAAAGTGAATCAATCAATCAATCAACCAATATTAGGTATGCTGTACATCGAACATCTCGTCATTTGCTATCATGTAAGCTCATCTATTACATGTACACTAAGGCAAGTTTAAAGAAGCTCGCTTTATTCCAAAAATTAGAGATGACGTCAGAAAAACAAGGGATTGGCAAGAAACATGTGTAAGCTGTCGAATGAAAGGAAAAAAGTCTTTATTTTAGGGATACGTTACCTATATTTGCAAAACACTTTAAATAAAATTTGATTTCGTGTTGTTATCAATTCGGTATTCCCATTTAATCAATTGCTTATATTCCTCATTCCACGTTGATAAGGAGCTTATTTCGGATTCGTAGTAATATACATAATACATATGTACCTGCAGGACATTCTCAGAGCTAAGCGTTTAATCGTTGTTTATCCGAGGCAAAGTAAAAATTCATCGCACTTTTTGTTCCTCACTGAATGCATGTGTAATCAGTAAGGAGTGATCGCTTCACTATTAATGCTATTGTTATTCCTATAGCAAACATTTTTTTTCCCAAATTAACTGATGTATGTATTGCAGTTTCTTAACAGAGAAAAGATAATTTTAAAAAGTAGAGAAACAATTTTGTTATTGTTGTAAAATAAAATTTATCCGAAAAGATCAAACACCCCGGATGAAAAACATCAGACAATAGTAGTATAGAGCGATTGTTTATACGGCGCCAAAAGAACGTTGATCGTAGGATCGTGACGTCACAGAAGGTGAATTGGACCCGCCTACTTCCGGAGACGTGGAGACGTGAGTCATGGGAGAGCCACGTAGTCATATGAGTCATATAGACTGTCACACAGTTAATACGTTGACGTTTGATAATCCTTACGAAAAACAAACGGAATGATGACGTCAGAGAAAGTCCGTGTCATTGCGTGGGTGGGGAATCATCGTGAACGGATCAATATCATTGGTTCGTGAAATAACAAAAGAAATGATGATCTCACAGAAGGTGAATTGGACCAGCCTACTTATACGGCGCCAAAAGACCAAGGATCGGGGATCGTGACGTAAGTCGGTGGACAAAGACAGGATGGTATGTCAATTTGGTCTTCGAAAACCATCCGAAACGGCGTTCTTCTGTGACAAAAAAAAACAAAAAACCACTATTAACAGACAGCAGCAGGAACTTTGGTGACATCCCGAAAAATGATATGTATTGTGAACTTAACAAAACCAGTGTAACTCGGTAAATCCTGTCATATGCGTAGGGCAGATACGATGTCAAGCAAGGTGAAATTGTTTCAAACAGAATAGATAGTAAAAATACCAAACAAGGAAGTCATCAGGTCATCCGTTACTTTATTTCAGCTGAACCCTCTCAGATAGAAAGCTTTGCAGTTGCTATCGAGAAATTCCTAGAACAGTATCTGGAGTTAGGACAACTCTAACATATGAAAACCATTATCAGAAGAGCCTGGTATGTTTATACCGAGGAATATAAAAATAACAGTCATTGAATTGAAGTTGTCTTTATTCACATGTAATTGTATCGCATCCATACAAAGTGTAATACATCATTCCATTCGACTGCAGATTTTATTTTAGAAATCAATAATATCGTATAATAGAAATTGATGAAAAGAGTGATATTGCTATGACAACTCGAACAACAAACATGTAATATACACAAGTTATCATGTATCCAAATGTATTATTGAAATATATAGCGTTGATAAAAATTGATAACGCATTGAAATAACGCCATTGAAGAGTCACTTGAATAAAAAAGATTCCAAACATTTAAAAAATAATTGAAATCGGTTGTATTGTTTATGTCACTCTTTCACAATATAAACAGCATTTCCTGGTTACGTTGTTACCGATATTACATTTCAACATCACGTATAATTGTGCAACAGCAAGACGTATATAAATAATATATTTCAGCACAATAATACAACAGGATATGATGGCGAAATCTAGAACAATTCTATGCCAATTTCATTGCTTTCGTTTGTCATGTCAATCAAGAGTAACCATGTTGAACAAGTCTGCCCAATTCAATGACACATTCATTAAAAGCATTGATTGGAATCAATACATTTTCATTTAAACAAATATGCACCAGTTGGGATTTGGAAATAGGCACCCTTAAAGAATACCACACAACTGCTCATTTACATACGTAAGATAAAAATCAAAATTTTGAATGAGAATAATGTATGATTTAGTGCGTTGTCTGGGTCTCAAACTGACTATCTGCGGTACCAACCCATAACCTTCCGACCATTTTAACCTCCTAGTAAGTTTTATAATTCGTAACATTCAATAACATGGTATCGTCGGCAGAACAGTACAAATCGCAAATTGATGAATAGAATTATATGTAAAAGTACATACAAATCTATTATTCTGGGCTAACACATCACCAAATGAAACACTCACGTTGAAAAGCGTCAACATTTGACCAAACGAAACCATCAAATTAAAACGTGTCACCACTTCACCAACATTTAACCATCACATTGGAAAGTTTGACCACTACATCAAATATAAAAGTCAAATTGGAAAGTTTGACAACTACATCAAATATAACTATCAAAATGGAAAGTTTGACCATTACATCAAATATAACTACCACATAATGTAAGGTGTGACCATTTCACTAAATATAACCATCACATCGCTAAGTATGATCACTACACCATATGTAACCTTCACATTACAATTACAGAAAAAATAACATCAGGGCCCGGTTGTTCAATACTATCGTTAAGCCAACGATATTGTTAAATTTAACGAGTCGTTAACCGCTAATTCTGCGTTAGTTAACGCCCTGCGTTAAATCCTTTTTGGCCCTAGTTTTATCGATTTTAAGTCGAATCATTCTTTAGTTGACTCATTGCTATGGTTTTTTCTTTTCTATAACCATATATGAAATTAATTGCGTAGTAGGATGCGATTATCATTAAAAAAAACTAGCAGGATTGACCACAGGGTATGTCTTCGTTCTTGAGAGACTTAGTTCATTGGTCATAACTTTGAAACGTTTGAGATCCCCACCCTTTAACCATATACACATTTACAGGACAGGAGAAAAACGAACGCAATCAAACTTCGAAAATCAGTTCAGGGGATCGTCGATTCAGATAGAAGAGCTCTGTTTACAACATATTTAACGTTCATATAGATAATTATAAAAATCTATACTTAACCATTAACATATTTGATCATACAAATGTACCATTATCCATGTTTCTCTCAAAAGTGTTTAACTAATGTTTTTTTTTTTAAATGGTACTTTCAAGTAAATATTTTACGAATGAAAAGGTTAAGCTAAAATAAAAGTGACAACTTCAGATCCGGTAAACATTTGTTATGTAGTTTTCGACATCATAATACGACATAGAAGATCCGTCACGTTCTCAGATAACCCGGGTAGTGACAACAAAAGCCACAAGAGACACTAATGCACACTATCAAAAACATAGACCTCCATTTCACACAAAGTGGTAGCATATTTCCCTATGATATCATGAAAGCGACCATTACACTTAGTCTATAGGGTAGTAACCTGAACATGTTATGACCACGTGACCAAGTCCTTAGGGTCGAGTCTGGACCCGGAGGGAATTCCTGTAGTAGCAATTGTATGTATGGTACCCAACCATTGATGCACCCCATTTTGATCCTTTGTTCTCTCCGCATCAGTGGGATTGGGACCACCAACTTTCGTGTATACAGCATGAAGTAGTTTGACAGAGTGATACTCCAGAACTTCTAACCTTCACATCCCTTCACCCGAAATGAGAGTTGGACCCATAGAGACAATAAAACAACGCTAAGGATACGTACATTGGGATCAACACACGAACACAGAGGCAAAAAATTAACGCCATGCAATCCCGTCGACCTCAAATTTTACACCTTTACACATACATTTACTCTGTACGGTAGGATCGTACATCCTACTCAAAATAACGACATATATATATAACTAGACATAAACATCCGTCCCAGTATTTATATTTTAGCACTGCCACCAGACCCGAATCAAATTTAATGTAAAACAAGTGAACCTGGTTAAAACGTCGACACTTGGACAGTGTGTACACCATCAAAATGCACACTTATTTGCACATCGTGTTGCAACGTCTCTAGGTTGTATCACGTTCCTTATCTCAAAGTTCAACTGCATACCATGTTGTTTATGTGTTAATATTCCTACCACATATTCACCTGTATTATTGCTGTCATTACAGAAAATATATTTACATCAATGATACATCCAAAACGTACATCGAGGTCAAATGTTACATAGTATCGGTAAAAACATTCTCAACGTTTAACATCCGAAAGAAAATAAAAGTTTACGGATATTTACATTCCTTTTCGAGAGATCGTATGCATCCGAAAACATGTATTCCTATATCTCGCAAATCAACTGCATACCAGTGGTGCGTGCGTAATTCTGGCCATAAGCCTGCGGGAGGGAGGAGGTGCAACGTATATCACTCTGACATTACCATGTTTCAGTACACAAAGTTTGTAAATATACACATGTTGTAAATTTTATTAATGCACTTGTTGAAACAATTTGACTTTTTGAATAAATGACATTATAGTACATGTAATAACAATAATTTACAAGTAAAATGTGCACATATATTAAGACATATATGTTAGGATTTTAAGTCAACTTTCTGGTTGCGGACGGATTTTGACATATAACACAGGAAGCTAATTAAAGCGTACAATGGTACACGTTACAAGACCGCCGGCACGCCACGATGTAATCTTTGTACACGGGGTATGTGTTGACCAAACCACGCGTACGTCTCGAATGTATCGTGTACTGTGATACCTTCTTACCTGCTTACATCGGTCTAGTTGATTTAAAACCTCAACAGAGATCACTAATGAATAAAGAAGCATTCTCCGAATAAAACACGAAGACACATATATCTATAATCATTTAATTTAGTTGATCTGTTTGCACATATAGTCTAGAATATTTCATTGAAAAATCGTATATGTTAGTTTAATTGCAAACGAAGCCGTTGTTATCTAATCAGACGTTGACCGGAACCGGGGAGAACAAACTGCCGGGCAGCAATGTTTGTAAAAAAGCAATTGTGTCATCATAGCAATATTTCACATGCTTGTTAACATTAAAAATTGTGACACTATAGTAATATTTCACATGCTTGTTAACATACAAAAATTGTGTCACTATAGTTATATTTCCACAAACATTTAATAAAACTTTTGTACATGTAAGCAATATTTCACATATTTGTAATTAACATCTGTCCTATAATTAGTTGAAAACAAACGTAATAATGTGAGTTTTAGGTGATACTTTATAGTCGATGTCGCATTGCGATAGTCTAAGATTCTTTTTCTGCAAATTTAGATGTCGTACGGTTTCATTTGAGGAATAAAACTTACTTTTCTTTTCACCATTCATGTGGTCATAACAACATTGGAAATATTCCATGAATCGCGTTATAGTGTATCAATACGCAGTGATGAGGTCACCTGTGTTACACAAAAATGAATGTCATTTTCGTCAATGGGTCAAGCAAACAGAATGTGCATATTTTGTACCGACATGAAACAATTATCACTGTCAATTCCTACGTACCCGAAACACACAGTTCAGGAATGAAGACATCACCCCTATATATACATATCAGCGTACAATACTATATAATAATTAAAATACAGGATAAAATTATGAGGAACATTTTCTGCAATGAGGTTCATGACCAATATGTTTTAATATATTACGCTTGAGACGCTGACACCAGATAAGTTCTGAGACAGCCTAGTAAAACGTGTCCATCAGAAATATTCCCATAAAATACGGACATCGTGTGAATGACAAGCTGATAATACAGGATAGACGTGGATTGCAATTATACGTATACCCGTACAGAAAAATGTAGAAGCTTAATATGAACATGGTTGAGTTAAAGGTTTTATGACAACGAAATGAACTTCTAAAATATCTCTCAATCAAAATACTACTCGAAATAAACCAGTTTATGTTATACAAAATAATCGTTACACAAGTACACTGTCTATACTGGATTTTTGTCCAAAACATTATAGACTATGTAGGATGTAGCACAGAACTCTTTTCCAACTGTCATTTTTATGGTCCCATCCTACCCTGTTTAGACAGACTATACTAAATCCGTTGGGCAATTTTAAAACTATTTATTGCAATACAGTTTATAGCAAATATTCACAGATATATGTCACAGAAAACTCCCTAGAGTTTAAACTTAATCTTTTCTCATTTACATATCAAATAAAAGTAACGCAAGTAAACACATCCATTATTATTGACAGTTATACACTAATAAATGAGAATTCTGGTGGAAACATATCGCGCGGTTTTTTTTGTCAGTTTTTGATTTCTCCGTGGGGAAATTATTGTTTGAATATTATCTAAAACCAATGAGTAGATGGTACCGAGGAAAACATCACCTTACTTCACAAATGAAATATCCGGTCGTGTTACACCATACGTCGTCAAGATTTTTAGGACCGGACCTGAACATTGCACAATTTGATGCTCTTCCTCCCTTTGGCTCGCCAGGACCAAATAACGTCATATCCACGTGACTTCCGTCAGAGAAGATCCAGGTACCCTCCGTGACAAGATCGGTGGCATCTATGTAAAATTCCCCAGTAGATAGGTAGGTAGACAAAACGTTCATCCTTTCTGTGTTATCAACTTTTACAAGTCCCGACCCTAAGCCAGAACAATGAAGTAACGCTTCATCGTATATCTTATTTTGCGAAAATACTTGATACATCATTTTTGTGCCCTGGTCATAGGTGAATCCGTCTTTGCAACAAACCAAATTTGCCTCACTCCATTCTAGAGAAGAATTGCATGTGATGCCACTCGAACCAATGGAATAATATCCGTTATTACACGAATATGTTGCTATCGCAGATATGGAGTAGGTATTAGCATTCACAGCTGCGTTCGTGATAGACGCAGGTTGTCCACATAATCCGGCCATACAGACTAAAACACCACTGGATAAAGCAACACAAGATAATCCGTTTTTACACTGGTGGTTCCTACACAAATAGGACGTATCCAGATTTGATGCTATATCACTGCGGAGTTTTACAACAAAATCTGAACCTTCTGTGATTGAATTAACACCAATGTTTGTCACTTTATAGCATGCTAAGTTATTAACATTGTACACCATTAGCTGGCAGTTTTTGTCCGAGAAACATTCCCGTTCACACTGTTGTAGGCCGACAGGTGATTTCGGTACCTGATTTGCCAGATCAAAAGCCACTAGTTGAGTTTTCGGTCTACAGTTTCCCTTAGACAAATTTACAAGACAAGTTGCAATAATCCCTGTAATCAATATAAATATTAATTCATTCTTTTGGTACTTCATCATGGAGCTTAGAAACACAAGCCTGTCTGGTCGACCTGAATTATTTGGATATAGATAATAGGCTACGTAACACTTGCCCGATACCGATACATGGTTGCACTTAAATGTATAGTTGGTCTTACATGACTGGTGTCCATTGATCATAAAACGTGCACTGAAGTCGTTATGGAAGAGAGCAGATCGGCTGCTGCGTTATATCGGAAAACGGTTCATTTGTAAGTATGTTATACGCATGCGCTTGTTAATCGAGAACTACAGTGTATGGATTTGGTTACACGTGAAATCATTCTGACAATAACTAACAGATAGAGGAGATTTGTGGGCGTGTTTTTGGAGATATATAGTCACTACTTGACTACGGTTGATAATATTTTTTATTACATACTTACTAATAAATACGGGTTTTTTTTGTATATGCGATACGACACAATTGCTCTAACCTATATCAGCCCTCGCCATATCAGTCCGCCAAATCCGTATCACACCCCTTTTGATTTTTTTCGTTTTTCAATATTTCAGAAGAAAAATAGATCATAAGATAGTAGCTTTTATTAGTTGATATGTAAGAAACAGAATAAAACAAGCAATTTTCCGGCCCTCGGGCTGATATGGCAGTCTCGGGCTGATGGAAGTTCGGTAATGGCTGAACAGCAGAATCGTTAACATGTGGTTCATGATTAATGTAGCGAGTCTGATAAAACGTCGCGTGCTCGTCTGGCAAAAAATTAACCGTTTTAACTATGTTTTGTTTCATCGTCAAATATATATATGTATTCAAATCAGAAGTCGATATTCCTCTGCTTCTTTATATTACTAAGGTGTATCAAGGTAATCTTTACCAAATTTTATTATTTTCTATTGAGTAATATACCGTTTTAAGCGTGGGGATGTATTTTCTGAGAACCTCACTGCAACCATATCGAATATAACCGGGAGTAGTGGTTTGCGGGATTCCCCTGCATCTGATGGTCAAAATGTTTAAACGTACCTGTATATCATATTTCATTGATTTATATAAAGATGAAAAGTAGGGTTTTTATCCAGAATTTCGTTTATGATCACAACAGCCGTCTGAAATAAAACCGGACGTAGTCCTTTTTGAGATGTCCCTTTATCGAAAACTATCACGAGTCTTTTTCAATGTATTAAAAAACTAGAAGTAATAATTGGTGTTTCTCCCATATCTAAAATGATTGGAAGGAGGGGCGGGTTGCATTGGTAGGGGATACTTGGTCAATTAATTGATGACGTATTTGAAATTAACACTTTAGATCATTTGATCATAACATATAGTTAACGCTGAATATCTAGACAGTTATTGTAAAAAGTAACTATGAACGCACAGGCCTAATGTGTGATGTAAAATATACCCGTAATTTAATCAATATTGCGCGATACATGTTGATCTTGTCTTATAATTTACAATTATGGATTATATAGAGGTTACACTGGTTGGCGAATATGGTATTTATTTCACGCGAGTTGCTAACGAGAGTGAAATAAATAGCATATTCAACAACCACGAGTCGTGTGATCTGTTTCTACCACAATCTCAGTCGGAAACAGCTGGATTGTGACCTGATGTTGACAAGGCTGGCGTAGTGATATGACCCATATGTAAAAAGTCACTCATTAATATTCAATAAGGCCTTTTTTTGACAAGTTTAATAATTTTTAAAATAAATGTTTTGACAACAATTTCATGAAAAAAATATAGTAGATGAACGTATTTAAGTATTGAGAGTGTATAGTATTGCATAAATCTATATAAATTAACCGCAGACTATATGCGCTTACGCATATCGTACGAAGTCTGCCTCCCGCCAAGTGATGAAGACGAACTAATCGCTGTCAATGTCCAAACCCATAGGCCTGGGACGTTTCTTCGTGACGGTTCTATGGTTGACGTTTATAGTGAAAGTCCAGCCATAGTCAGACCCTCCAAAAAGCGTTGGGAGAACGAAATGTTTTCCGACACTGTGACAGATCATTCTATTAATTTCACGACCTGGACACGCGACACGATATCGAGTGTCTGTAGCAATTTTGCCTGAAACTAGCGATCAAATCTTTAAGTATCATCTTCTTTTAATATTGCCTTAATAACCCCTTTTCCCCAACGCATAACCTCACAAAGTCACATTTGCCGGATGTTGACAACTGACGACGTAAACAAAACAGCATGTGGCAAAAAGCGCGTGGAAAAAGTCGTCCCGGTCAAAGTTCATATCCTCGAATAACGTGGAATAACACAATATACTGTGGTAGAACTATATATATAACAGCAGTAAATGTATCCTTACGGACGAAGAAACACCATCAAAAGAAAAAGTCTGAACAACATGTCATAAGCGCATCTATCTAATTAAGGATATTCTTCAGACTCTCCATGATGAGACGAAAGCGCTTATGACATGTTGTTGAGATTTTTTCCTTTTTGTAGTATATATATATTAGCATATTAAGTACGGGTTTTGTAGAGAGCAAATGCAGGTTTATTAGTGTAACTGATAGTACTACATCTTTATGTCACGAATATGTGCTAATCAGCCTGTGTTTATTGTCATTTCATTCATGTTAACATCTTGGAAGTTACCTATGGTATCTGTGTCGCGTCACATTTCCTGGTAGGGACACACAAACAAAAATACATAAATGCTTATCATTTCTTTATTATACATAGCTGGAATAGTAGCCGAGCTTTGTTCAAGGATTAACAATTATCAAAATATCCATTCCCGAGTCTCAACTGATTTATTAGTTAGAAAAAACGGCCTGAAAACTCATACACTTGTAGGTATATACCAGAATTCAGGACACGCCCTTATTTTCATTACATTTGATATGGCTGATCTGATATTTTAGTACATTTGTGGGAGAAATGGATGGTATTAAAAATATTGTTGCTTCGGGTGTCAGTTCCATAAAAATGCTACATTTTATAATTCCATTGAAAATTTCCGTGTGTTTACGGCAAATGTAAACAAGTCCCCTTATATACACCTTGTCACCTTGATCATCGCAATAAATACCTGAATAATGTTCGTATGCACGTAACGTATATAGGCTACATTCAATGCACTGCAAGTAATAGCATATTTTATGGAAGCCGAGAGGTACCATGTGAAGTATATTAGATCTCGTAGATTAATAGGGAGAAAAAGGAAACGTTGGTAACATCTATCGGTTCCCCTGATATTTTAGTACCAAATCTTAAGGATACATATACACTATGTACAAATAGACTTGATTCATTCTTTGATTATATTAAGAAATATCGTTTTACCGAACTGGTAAGTTTGACAGGTTTTGTACCGAGTGAGCTCCTTAAAAGCTTTGTAATATTCATACATTTGTAGGACAAGCGATCAGTCCTGAAACCAATCAAACTACTAATCGCGGGACTTTGAAATTGTCATAGGATGCAGAGAACGTCAATACATGTAAGCACAACCCATGGAACTTCGAGGGCGAATAACTGGGTGAAGCACTAATCAATGTCTTTTGATTAAATCATAAACCGTGCATATAAGGTCTGGTATGGAGTGGGTCTGAACAGCCATACATGTGATAGCGGCTATCTTACAAGTGTTCTGTACGTCTTCTATTTGACTGTATACGAGAGCTGGTCTTTTTTATCCGCTTACCAAAATGTCAATTTAATGACGTCATGTATTATATTGAATCACGTGAAAGATATCAATGATGTTATTAATGAAGAGTGGCGGTCCAATCACCGACTATGAGGCAAGCTGGTTAACTCGATGAACGAGGTGTGAACGCGCCATAGCTGCCTGTCGCGAGTTTTGATACTCTGGGCGACCTACCTCAGGAGTTACAGGCACATTACAGTCTATGGCTAGTACAATCAATATTTAACAAATTATAACCCTTATTTTTATCGTTATGTCCTAATTGATGTCCGACAATCGTCTATCAAGCCGTGCATGATAGTGTAGTTCAGTCATGCTGTTACAGGAAATTGTACACGTCCATACAGTTTAATCTATATGCTATTATGAATGTTTTACTGGTTATTAGTTATATGATCTTATTTATTAAATTTTGTTGCATGTTATAATGCTGGTAAAGTTGATGTTATTGAGTATCAGTGATATATTTTTATACTGTGTTTCGGGGTTTCTCGTGAGAACAATCTTCTGATGGCGAGGACTTGGATAAAATCGAGAGGTCACCGCAGGAGGTCTCGAACTGTTTTCTGATGGCGAGGACTTGGATACAATCGAGAGGTCACCGCAGGAGGTCTCGAACTGTTTTCCACGTGCTCGAGATGAGAAAATTGTTCGAATGATCGACTTAGAAATGCATTTACTATCTTATATTTATCAACAATCATAGAAACCTACTTGAAGAAATCTTCATTTTAACTGACTTATGCGCAAATTAACATTTAAAATAATGTTTTCCCTCACAATGTTTATGCATGATTGATAATGATTTATTAATTACTGATTTTTTCTCTTTCGAATACTTTTCTAGTGCATGACGTCACTTGACGCCAACAGAAGTTCTTTCATGAGAAAATAATTTCTTAATAGATAAATCCATTCTAAAGTCAGTCTTTACATAATTCATATTCCAATACTAACAACCCGTGAGAATGGATTTATCATACTACTTTAAGGGGATATAAAGTAAAACATACAGGTGGTTAATTCATATACCTTGCTATATAGGTAACGGTCATGATAGGGTTAAAAAGAATAAAAGCCATGAGGTGCCATAATCGATTATGTACCATTAAAATAATCAGACCATAATACAGTGTTTCATTGCATGATATATACTATACTGTCTTACTTACTCTGTGGATAGCTAACTATCAGTGTGCCCTTTAATATCATGTTGATATTTTGTATGGAATGTTTATCATGAATGGTGAAGCATCGGTTCGTTATGGTTGTGTTATGTGATGCTTAAGCTGTCTTTGGAAGGAGAAAGACCTTATCAGGGCATGTATGTGGGTACCAGTGTACAGGGCACCAGGACCTCCCCATGCAACGGGTCAATGTCAGTCACAGGTCATCCACGGCAAGCAAGTCAAGGATACTCAAATGTCAAACAGAACTCGGTGGATACAAAACCATCGACTTCAAATTCAAATTCGTTTATTGACTTTAAGCTGTTCA